TCACATGCTCAGGGAAATTATGCAAATCTTGAATGGAAACCTGGACAACATTTGCATTTGTGTGCATGAATTTTGCTATGGCTTCATAATAAACATGACAATGTTGTTTTCTGTTGACTTTTTATTCCATTTCCATCAATTAAAGGAATTTTTAATCGAGTGGGTTGCATTTACCAACACAATTACTGCTCAGTATGATGGAATTGTTCATGGAATTGGCCACATTTCTCCTTGACAAAAAGACAGCAAATTCCATTGACAGATATGAATGCAAACTGTCAAGGAGAAGAGGAATGATGATTGGACGAAATATCATTTTGTTGTGAAAAGAATAATCTGTCAAATTGAAGCCATATGGTGTATATGGAAATTAGATCAACTAATCTGACTCCCTCTGCCAAAATGTGAATTCCATAAAGAAATGTAATCTTGAGTTTTGTTTTCAAAGACTATTCATTAGCATAACATTCTCTTGGATCTTAATCGGTGCTGTATCTTATAGTGTGTATGGTTGACTGGTTACATTACAGGTAACCAATTCCTTTGAACAACAGAAGGGTTCAGAGGAGAAGAGTCTAGTGAATTCTAGGCACGTGCCATAGCTACTCCTCATCAATGACCACGTCCCTTGAATCCAATGACCACGTCCCTTGAATCCAATGACCACGTCCCTTGAATCCAATGACCACGTCCCTTGAATCCAATGACCACGTCCCTTGAATCCAATGACCACGTCCCTTGAATCCAATGACCACGTCCCTTGAATCCAATGACCACCCTATAGGATACTTTTCAAATATTAACCTTGAGCAAAGCAGCCCTCCCTATTTTCTTCCTTTTCACCAAAGTCTGGAACATTCCATGGAATGTTAAATCAATTTCCAGCTGCTCTTTGATAGGCCTACAGTACAGGAATTTGGAATGGTCTTTCTCCCAAAAGGCCATGGCAGCAAATTGAAATCTAAGGCCCAACCATCCCACATCCATGAAACCTATTTAAGGAAAAATCCACCCACAACCACTAATTTCTTTAATTTACAGTATTAAAACACTAACATGTGAACAATATTTTTTGTTATATTTTGGCGTTATAATAAGGTTAGTCGCAACATGGAAAATCGTTGTGGAAATCTGTTTCAGCTCAAGTTGACTAAAAAATCCACAATGCAATGCTCGGAGGCTGGCTGGCTAGCTAGCTAGCTTGGTAGGTAGCGGCCTGGCAAACGTAGCTACATACAATAATACCAAAGACAATATCAGCATGTAAAGTAGCTAGTTAACTGTAAAATCGCCTAAACAAACTGCACTATCAATTTAGGAGTCTACAATCTCACCATGTTCAACCTGCAGATCAATGTGCCTCACAGAGTGGAGTCTAACATTCAGCCATACTTTTGAGGAGGAGGGAAACGTTGCCCATGCTTCGTCAATGGGCCGCGCGGTGCATTCTGAGTGATTCTGTCCTCCCGAGTGGCGCAGTGGTCTAAGGCACTGCATCGCAGTGCTAGCTGTGCCACTAGAGATCCTGGTTCGAATCCAGGCTCTGTCATAGCCGGCCGCGACCGGGAGACCCATGGGGCGGTGCACAATTGGCCCAGCGTCGTCCAGGGTAGGGGAGGGAATGGCAGGCAGGGATGTAGCTCAGTTGGTAGAGAATGGCGTTTGCAACGCCAGTGTTGTGGGTTTGATTCCCACGGGGGACCAGTATGAAAAATAAAAAAACAATGTATGCACTCACTAACTGTAAGTCGCTCTGGATAAGAGCGTCTGCTAAATGACGTAAATGTAAAATTCTGGGACAAGGAGCGCTCTCCTTCAAAGAGTGAATGGGAGTCTATTCGGCGCCAGCTCAAAAACCCAACATTAACACACATTTAGTACAACATTACAAATATTTTCCGAGATGTGAGATCATTAACTTGCTATCTGTAATATTCCGTAGCTTTGGAATTGTGACATGACGTACTTTCGAGGAAAATATGCACGTTTCTTGACATACAGTGCATTCGGAAAGTATTCAGACCCCTTGACTTTTTCCACTTTGTTACGTTACAGCCTTATTCTAAAATGGATAAAAAACTGTTTCCCCCCCCCCCCCCCTCAATCTACACAAAATACCCCATAATGACGAAGCAAAAAACAGTTATTTTAGCAAATGTATTACAAATAAAAAACTGAAATACCACATTTACATAAGTATTCAGACCATTTACTCAGTACTTTGTTGAAGCACCTTTGGCAGCAATTACAACCTCGAGTATTCTTGGGTATGACGCTACAAGCTTGGCACACATGTATTTGGGGAGTTTCTCCCATTCTTCTCTGCAGATCCTATCAAGCTCTGTCAGGTTGGATGGGGAGCGTCGCTGCACAGCTATTTTCAGGTCTCTCCAGAGATGTTAGATCGGGTTGAAGTCCGGGCTCTGGCTGGGCCACTCAAGGACATTCAATGATCTCTCTGTACTTTGCTCCGTTCATCTTTCCCTCGATCCTGACTAGTTTCTCAGTCCCTGCCGCTGAAAAATATCCCCACAGCATGATGCTGCCACCACCATGCTTCACCGTAGGGATAGTGCCAGGTTTCTTCCAGAGATGATGCTTGGCATTCAGGCCAAAGAGTTCAAACTTGGTTTCATCAGACCAGAGAATCTTTCTCATGTTCTGAGAGTCTTTAGGTGCCTTTTAGCAAACTTCAAGCGGGCTGTCATGTGCCTTTTACTGGCCACTCTACCATAAAGGCCTGACCAAGGCCTTTCTCCCCCGATTGCCCAGTTTGGCCAGGCGGCCAGCTCTAGAAAGACTCTTGGTGGTTCCAAACCTCTTCCATTGAAGTATGATGGAGGCCACTGTGTTTTTTGGGATCTTCAATGCTGCAGAAATTTTTTGGTACCCTTCCCCAGATCTGTGCTTTGACACAATCCTGTCTCTGAGCTCTACAAACAATTTATTTGACCTCGTGGCTTGGGTTTTGCTCTGACATGCACTGTCAACTGTGGGACCTTATATAGACAGGTGTGTACCTTTCCAAATCATGTCCAATCAATTGAATTTATCACAGGTGGACTCCAATCAAGTTGTAGAAACATCTCAAGGATGATAAATGGAAACAGGATGCACCTGAGCTCAACTTCGAGTCTCATAGCAAAGGGTCTGAATATTTAATTTGCACAAAAAAAACAACTATTTTCGCTTTGTCTTTATGGGGTATTGTGTGTTGATTGCTGAGGATTTTAATTTATTTTATAAATTTTAGAATGAGGCTGTAACGTAACAAAATGTGGAAAAAAGGAAGGGGTCTGACTTTGAGAAGGTTAGCTTAGCAATCGCATGACAACTTGAACGCGATTGGCCGACAGTCTGCTGGGTGGGGCATTCTACCTTCATTTATTCACTGGTTTCCTATCTCCTTTCTATAATATCTCTGGCATCGGCACCATGCAATGCACCCTGGACTACAGAGGTAGACAAATAGGAAAAATGTGCTAGACCCTCTACGTGAAATTACAAATTTCTCGAGGTAGGAATATCACAAAAATGTGATCAATGGCTCATTCGAGAGAAGACATTTGCCTGAGTTATGACAATGGCCAGTATTGAAATCTGACATGTATGATAGATGTTTTCGCGATCTAAAAGTCGTATTCCTATTAACTTCCAGTGTAGTGAGAGAGACTTTATCACAGTGCCACGTCATACCAGCCGGATTTCTTCGTGCCTGAACGCCAATAACTCAGATACACATGAAAACATGAAAAGACCCAGGGAATCGATAACATCCCTCAAAGATGCACAAAAACATTAAAACATTCAAAATGGGTGAACCTTTAAGTGGAGTACCAACTATTGAGCTGAGACACACGCACACACAATGTACTACAGGTGAACGGAGGAAAGAAAAAACAAAAAAATGGGAAGAGTGACAGAAAAGAAGAAGGGAGGGGTGGAGGGACTAGCTGTCTTTTAATATAAAAAAAACTAATAGGGGGACCATGTCTCAAAGCCTGCTGTGATATTTTCTGCCAAAGTAATTCTTATTCATGGAATGAATTGTTGAATGTTGAATTGAATTATGTTGTGCCAGTAACCGAAAGGTCGCTGGTTCTAATCCCCGAGCCAACTAGGTGAAAAATCTGTCGGTGCCCTTGAGCAAGGCACTTAACCCTAATTGCTCCTGTAAGTCGCTCTGGATGAGAGCGTCTGCTAAATGATATAAAAAATATTTAAAAAATTAAAAAATTAGACGAGAGCTAATAGGAGCTTGATATTTGATATAGACAAATTAGCTTATGGGGAAAGACGGGTAGACTTATTGGTAGTTGGATTCCCTGGGGTTTCCACATTGCTTTAGAGGATAATTGTTGGGAGTCTTCTGCCACTCCTTTGTAATATTTGAGGGCCCATTTCGAGTATCTTCATATCGGCCAGAGGCGAATGAGAGAAGTTGTGCACATGCATTACCTGAGGGATTCATATAGTATCAATATCCGAACAATTGAAAAAGCCTCTACATTTTCACAGACATGCCTTGTGCCCAGTACTTATGATAACACGTGTGGTATGTTCTTTGAATGAAAATGGTGGGCAGTCTTGAAGGAAGTAGAAGAAAACGATCATGTTGCAGCGGCTCAAGTGACTCTTTCTATGGAGGACTAAAAGTGCCACAATTAAATAAATAAATACACCATTAAATAATTACTTAAATGTGTCATTAATTAATTCAAATTAGAATTAAATACATAAATGTGTAATTAAATGTATCATTAATTAATTCAAATACCGATTCATTTTATGTAAAATACATATATAATTATTTCACTATTTACATTTACATTTCATGATCCTGCATTGCAGTGATTCATGAATTACTTAAAACTGTCAAACTGACCCATCAAAGTCAGTGGGCGGGGCTAACGCGAATCTAGTCTGATCCATTGCTTTGGTCTGAAGTAGAGTAGGCCAACCTGGATAGAGACAATGGAGGATCTCCGTGAACTTTCCAGGGAGTTGGTTAGAGACATTTTAAACTTAGCAGAGGATGTAGAAGCAGGACCTGCTGACCCAGAGCATGTAGCTAGTAAAGCAGAGGAACTTATTGAAGTTGTTGGAGTCATTTCCGCACTTTCCGACGAAGATATCGACCACAGAGTGATTGCAAATCTAGAAGAAGTTGTCTACCGCTTCTCTGGTACCAGGGCACTTCAGGCCCAACACACACAGGGACCGGGGCGTTTGGCGTTTGACATACCGAGTGCAGTTCTGGAGCATCAACTTCTTTGTGGAGTTCCCGCAGTTCAAATTGCAGCGATGTTCGGTGTGTCAAAGAGGACCATCAGGAGGCGCATGCAACAATACAGTTTAAGGTATTTACACTAAATTCATGAGTTTTCTGTTTATGAATTGCTGCTCTCATACACTCGGAAAGAATATGACGTTTAAGGTAACATTACTTGATGTTGTGTTTTTCTTGTTTGTACAGAAAGACAGATCTCTATTCAGCTGTGAATGATGAGGAGTTAGACCGTATTGTAAGTGAAATTCACAGAAGTCATCCAAACACCGGCTACAAGCTAATGCGTGGTCACCTGAATGCAAGAGGTGTGCATGTTCCAAGTGAGTAGATAATAATATGGGCATTATTTAAATGTATTTTTAATTTGGAGCTCTGCCCCTTTGAAAGGTGAAGGAAGCCCGCTTATGGAAAGACATCGCCTCTGAGATGTAGAATG